AATCATCGTTTTGAGTAATCAAAATCTTGATTACTCGAGTAATTGATTAACCGAATAATTGATTAACCAACTTGCTCGAGTAATCGAATAATCGCACAGCCCTAGTTTCTAACAATAAAATCGCAAAGTGAAAGGAAAATTAAATAAAAAGTAATAAAATAAATTATAAAATAAAGAGCTTATAAATATTCAACGAAATTAAAAAAAAAATTTGTTTAACACAATCGAATTTAAAAAATTTAATTAAAGAAAAAAATTTTAGTAAATCAAATTAAAAAAATATATAGTTTTCTCTTCTAAAACAATAAAATTTTAAAATTAAAAGAAAATTCAATTAAAATCCGCCTTTTTTATTTGGGACATGCTCAGGTACAGTGACGAGCAAAACTGTAACATGATGTAACACTTTTTATTTCAGCCACCGCTATCTTTCATAGTTCTAACGACTTTCACACTTTTGTTCTATATTCTTATTGGTACACCCCTACTCCCGCTCTCATAACGATTTAAGGTCAATCCAACAACAATAAAAAAACCTGGAGACAAAAATGAAAGTTAAGGCAAATGTTACAGTTTTGCACTCATTCTCAGTTTTGCATTTTACAGTTATCTTTTGCTTAGTTGGAAGTCAGATGACTTTTTTCTGTATTGTAATTTATTCAAGAAGTGATCACCAATAAATAATATGGTTAATCAGGAAGCATAAATGTAAATAATAGGTTTACTGCGGAAAGGCGGGACCGCAGGGAAAGTGGCAAAAAATTGTGGAGTTTGCCACATGAAAATGTTAAGACTGAGAAAAAATATAGCCTAAAGTGTTACTAAGGACAAAGGAAGTCTGTCAAAATATATTTCAGTCCGATATCTTGAGAACTTAGTAGCAAGTAGCGCTGCAGGCACTACTACAGAAGCGCTTAAGGTATTAAAATTGAATGCAAATCAGTAGATAGTGAGGCGAAAAATTGCCAAATTGAGCAAAATGTATCATAAACGAAGAAAAAAGCAAATTTGATCAAAATACATGTGCGAGTGTGGCAGCGTTTTGCTGCATCGCACAAAAACCGGACCGTTGCCTATTGGGATATGTTAGGCCTTACATAACGCAATAAAAAACACATTTTTAAGATTTAATTGAGGCTTATGTGGTCTGACAAGACTAAATTAATAGCTTTTAAGCAGATGGCCGGGCATGGTATTGGAACAAAGGCCCAAATTAGCCTAAGCGCATCATGTAAGGCAAACTGTGAATCACAGTGGTCGGTCAATATTAGTTTGGGGTTGTATTTCAAAAATGTTGTTGATCCGTTTGTACGTATTATGCGTAAGGAATAGTATCTGTTCATATTTCAACAAAATTTGCAAGATGTAGTCGAAAAAATTAGAGTTTCTGCTGAAAAAGCAACCAAAACACACTGCACATGTTCGCAAAGACTGGAACAAAAGCAGAAATTTGCTAATTTGAAATGACCTCCACAATCCGAGGACATGAATCTCATCGAGAATTTGCGAAATCAACTAAAAGCGCATCTTACTAAGTATCCAAGTCCGTCCAATGGAGTACGTGAGCTGTGAAAGCAAACCAAGGATATATGGGAGGCTATACCTCCAGAATTTTTACAGACATGCACATTAGGTATGCCAAATTGCAACCAGAAACTAAATAAAGCAAAACCATACCGAACATTGTGTTAATAATTCTTTTTTTTTGTGAAAATTGTCAAAAAGTTATTAAAAATACATGAGTGCAAAACTGTAACATATGCCTTAATTTACATTTTTGTCTGCTGGTTTCTTTAATGTTGTTGAATTGACTTCAAATCGTTATGACAGAGGAAGCAAAGATGTACCAATAAAAATAGCGACAGCTGAAAGAAAAGGTGTTACTCCATGTTACAGTTTTGCTCGTCACTGTATATTCTGCCAAAAGAGCTTTTCATCACGAAAGTTGGTAATGCAGCTTTTTTGTAAGACTTTCGTGCCGGAATAAATAAGATCTCTCAAACTATCTTGCCCGCTGTCCTTCAAATACGCCGGCACCAAAAAAATGGTGCATGCTGTTAACCAGAGCCACCTACCGACATTTTTGACTCGCTGAATCGAATCCAAGTTCCGTTTAACTCATACAACCCCAAAATTTCGAGTTAATTGCGAGTTTTTGGCAATTTTTTTTTTTTGCAATTTTCTCGAAAGTTTGAAGGTGTGCCAGTCAAACGGACTACAGATTCGGATTCAGCGGGCCGAAATACAAGTTTTTTTTTGAGAGCCGGTGACAACTATCTTAGCCAGAATTGCCCCGTAAATATAGCACATAACATACTTTTCCACCAACTCCATTGCAATACGATCGATTTCCGGCAATGCTTCACGCATATTTTGTACCTTCATCAAGATTGGATTTACCTTCTGGCGTATATTGAACCAACCTTCACCTTGCCTACATACATAAGTGGTGATAAAGTTTGCAGCATCAAAATGTTATCCTTATTCGACTAATTTGCATTTTAGTTCAATACTACTCACTCTGCCACCAATCCCAATGTGCCACCATATGCTTTTGGATTCTCTACCTTCCGATAGTGTTTAAAGCTTCCTACACCATCCCGTACAGGCCAAACTCCTTCAGTTCTATATACTTTTTCGAAATCAATTGGATTATAAGTGCATACTAAATCTGCGCGACCGAAAGAGCCGCGAAACACAAACAGGTCACCATAGCGTTTGCGCATTGTTGCATACAATTTCAAAAAATTTGCGCCATAAAGTTCTCCTAAAAAAAACACACACAATTAAAATGTTCGTAATTACTTTATAATTTGCTTTTGACTATTATCGTACCGCCTGGTAAAAAGTCCATCATTAATCCAATACTTGTTGGTCCAGGTATTTCGTTATATTCCTTTGCGCTTGCCCACTCCTCTTCGTAGGTTGTATCTGCCAATAGGTTCTAAGAAAAAAAGTAAGCATGAATAAGCGCAGATATTTAACATGAATGAGTTAAATTCACTTCGATTACTGTGGTAACTCATATTGAAGTTGCTCTCGTTTGGCTAAGTACGTTAAATTTGTTGAGCACCCCTGGTAAAATGTACATATGTACATACATCGTATCTGTGTCTATGAACCAATGAGAAGACAAGGGATATGCACATTAGGGTGGTCCTTAATTGTAGGAAGCAAATTTTTACATCAGATTTTCTAAGCCTCAACCCCTACGTCGATGCTACTATAGTCGAAGAGACTCTATGGAGACTCAAAAAATTGAAATTAATTTTTTCAGCTAATACCAAAAATTTATACAACTTTAGTCCCCCTTTGCAACACGTCTTAAATAACTCCAATCGGGACCAAAATTTATATGTGATATCTTCGACTATGGTAGTAACGATTTTGCATATTAGATGCAAAAAAAAATTAATTTAAATTTTTTAGTCCCTATAGAGGAATCAGAAATTTGTCCCCTGTGCGACACACCTTAACCAGCTCCAATCGGAACCAAAATGTACAAGTATATGTGATATCTGTGATCGTGGTATTACCGATTGAGGGGGTGAGACTTATAAAAATCGTTCATTTGATTTTTTAAGGACTACCCTAATGTGCATACATACCTCTTAAGAAACCAGACCGCCTTTATTTGCATAGCAAACCACGTTTAATGAGTAAGCTGATCATAAACGTCTACTTTATCTGTATTCGGCAAACAGGTTTGTGTTGTTATATGTATTAAAACACACAAAGATATTTATTTATAGTAATTCTTAAAAAAACAATTATTACTTTATCATGCAATTTTGCGAATACCCCAAACAAGTTCAATGCACCTACTGCTCAACCATTAATGAGAATGTGCGGAAACTCACAAAATCCGTCCACAGTTGCACGTTCTTTACCAGCTGATAAGATTCACATTAGGGTGGGTATCTTTTCAACGATTTATTAAGCTGTAGTTTCGCAAAGCAGTGTTTGAAGAAGGCGCAAAGCAGTGAAACATGTTTACATTTTCTTATTTTTCAACATAAAATAAATAAAATTGAATGTAAATACATATCGCTCATTTACTTCAAAAGAGTCATAACTAGAAAAAAAAAATTCGAGAGAAACCGACTGAAGTAAATGAACGATATGCTTATACTTTTCCTGGATTTTGAACCGACCTCTAAAAAAATAGGAGGTTATCAATTCGTCGGAATATTATTTTATTTATGATACTGGTTAACTTTGGACCACGTTAACTGTTTTCTATAACTTGTTAGTTCCGGGCATTGGATCACGAAAAAACTAACGGTAATCCTAAATTTGCATACGAGTCGGTTCGGTTTTCTTAAATTATTTGTTTTTTTTTCGTGTGAAACTAAAATTTAATAGACTTATTTCTATTTCAATTTCAATTTTTATTCTAAATACTAGTATTTATTAAGTCACTTATCTTCTGATAATGATACGACTCTATGGTATTAAGAATAACAATTTCACTTTTACTGCCGTTTATCGCTCACACGCATTATGCTACCGACTGCAGCTTGAAAAAATAGTTATGTTGCGTCCTTTGGCGGATGTTTAAAAAGAAAAGATGGCTCTAGGAATGGATTCTTCATAACAAAAACACCCTTATTAGCATGCTTCTTTTTTATTTAAAGTAGAGTATTTGTACACCCTAACAACATAGTCGAAAAAATCTCCCACACAAATATACCCGCCCTAATGTTTGTAAATATGTATTTCTGCATTGTCCATATTCCAGTTTTTTGCATAACCGTTAAGTACATTTGCGATCAAGTTCTTACCTGTTGCGCCAGCGTAGCGCTGCTTGTAGTCAGCGGCCGTGCGTACAAGCGAGGTGAAAGATACTTTGATGGCACGCCAATAAGCGGCTGCAGGTAACGATGTAAAGGACAAAAGAACATTTTTTTTTATTTCGTTCTATTTATAAAAATATTTATTTAAAATATTTTGCTCGTTTTTCCCTTTTTTTTTAGATCAGTTGTGTATCGCGCACACGCCTTGTATTGTTCGTCGGCACTGCAAAACGATGTTCAGCTAAATTGATGCGCGTCTGCCGGTGGTACCAGCCACACTGAACTCTTGCGGCATTCAGCGTAAAACCTTAAGTAAAAGTTGTATACTTAGTACATATGTATGTATATACATAACTAAAGAAAGTAAACTGGGCATAATGGAGAAACAGAATGAGAAATGAAGGATTGTGAGTGCATTAAATTGCTGCACAATACATTTTTTTGGCAGTGAATTCTTTACTTTGTATCTGAACGTAAGAGCGCCTGCATGAATCTTTAAGAGTGAATTTTGAGACTATCGGCAACAATGCCAGCTCCCTGCCGCCATACAAATTTGAAGAGCTGAGCTCGGATTCTTTCAGAACTAGCAGCTGTATAATTTTTTAGACTTATTCTTATTTCGTCTTGGTTATAGAACGGAACAATGATTTCGTCATCAACGATCGGGGTATTCGCTTTCTTCACAATTTCGTCAAAATTACCATTCAGCAGAATGGTAAAGGGGACTCTGTACATCTGTCACCTTTCTGATATTCACATCAGCTCGCACCGGTCTTGAAACCGTCGGCGAAGGACCGAAATTTCTGAACAACTTTCGAATATTTATCCGGTCGTTAACTCTCTCGGCGGCCGCTGTCGTGTAGTGGTTAGCAGTGTGCGATAGCATTCCGCAGGGCCTGGGTTCGAGCCAAGTTTCCAAAGAACTCAAAAAAAATAATAATCAATAAATGTTTTTGTGTAATAGCGGTCGCATTTCGGTAATAGCAAACTCCAAGTGTATGCATTTTTTTGTGTATATCTTGGTAGGTATGAGAATACGTCGTAAATTATATTTCATACCGTTAAATGAAAGGGGCGTGGCATCTCCCATACAAACCGAATTTTTCATACTGCATATCTCTGGAAGTGTTCATGGTAGAGTACTGGAGATATAAAATTTCATCACTATGAAATATGTTTCCATAATTTTTTAAATTATTTATCAAAAAATAATAAATAAAATTTTATTTTCTTCAGAAATTGATTGCAAATAAACGGTTCGTTCTGCTCTATATTCTGATATTTTTATTTTCCCGATAGGGCTTATATAACACAAGTACTGAACGTCTTTTTGGCGTTAACCTCGAAAATTTCATCCTTTTTACCTTCCTTTTATTAGCTCGGGATGTAACTATGTAATATTGATGCGCCTAAAAGATGCAGCGATTTCTATTCTCAAGTTACATACCTGATGACAGTACGAATGGCAATTATAATAGGAAGGTTTTAGTTTTTAAACTATAATTTTATTTAACTAATTGACAATATTAGCGAAACATCTCGACCTTTTTGACATTTCGATATGTTTTTTTCAGGAATTTTCTGAACATTTTTGAATAAGTTTCTTCCAGCGAAGACTAATTGCCACATAACAAACCATTTCTATATTGACTGCACTATTAGACAAATGATAGATTTATTTTGTTTTATTAATCATTCACTTTAAATAAAAAAAAGTAAGTGCGCATGGGCCACACTGGAGAAGTGAAACTTGCGTTACATACATATCTATTTTGTCTCATAACCAATATACATATGTATATACATCTGCTTTTGCTTAAGGATATATTTTTTTTTCTATCTATGTACATTCCTACCCAACCCCTGTTCGTTACATTTATGTTATTCTGTTTTCCTTTATCTTCATTTTTATCTTTATACTCTATCGATAACAAAATCGATAGTAACATCAAATAAAATATCGATAACAAAACCGATAAAAATTTCGATAGCAAAATCGATAAATATCGATAACAAAATAGATAAATATCGATAAAAATCGGTAAATTTCGATAAACAAATCGATAAATATCAATCAGATAATCGATAAATACCGATAACAAAATCGATTAATATCGATAACAAAATCGATAAATATAGATAACAAAATCAGTAAATATCGATAACAAAACCAATAAATGTCGATAACAAAATTGATAAATATCGATAACAAAATCGATAAAAATATCGACAACATAATCGATAAAAAATATTGCTAAAAAATAGCTAAAAATATGGATTACAAAAACGATAAAAATAGCGATAACAAAATCGACAAAAATATCGATTATTATATCTGTAAGTTCCAAAAATATCGATAGCAAAATTGATAAGAATATCGATAAAATTTTCGATAACAAAACTGATAAAAATATCGATTATTTTATCGATAGGTCCCGAGAATCCCGAAAATCTCTCAAATCCCCAAATAGTTCCCAGATTGAGCCTCTGTGTCTCTCTCTATATTCTTTTCTCTTTAATTACCTTTATTTTAATCTGTACCCTATCTTCATCTTTACTTTTATCGGTATCCTTATCCTCCTCTTTGTCTTTACTTTTATGTTTATCATTTTCTTCATCTACATATTCCTCTTCACCATTGCCCGTATATACCCGTATGTAAGTAAAGTGTTCAAATTTACCTTGGTCTTCATTTTTGCCTTTATCTTTACTCATCTTTGTTTTTGTTTTTATTTTTACCTTTGCCTTTATCTATGTACGTAGTCACCTAGTCTTTCTTGTATTAGTATTTCTAAAAGTGTTATTATTTAACCTTTTATTAGCAAGTTTTTGTTAAATTAGTATTATGTGCATACAATCAAGAAGCACTTGTTTCAGCCCCAACCATGTGCCATTTCCGTGTGCCATTTCCGTTGAATTTGCCAATTTACTCCCAACCAACCAACCGCCTTAAAGAAGTTTCATTTCAAAAATAGTTTCAGTGATTTGCGGATTAACCGGTTTTTGTTACCCACTTCCTGCCATTCTGTAGTCGTTGTATACTTTTTATGGTTCACACATGCTTGTATCTTATCCATCTTTCAAATACGACAGCCCCGCAAAAACACATTCGGAGGGTTCAGAGTATTTGAGTATGAAAAGACAAAGTACTTTCAGTTTTGAAAATATTAAGTTTTTTAAAGGACGAAGGTATCTACTTATAAAACAGATTTTAGTATGAACGTTAACAAGTCGAAAATAGTCGCTGAATGGTAATTAGAAAATATACAAATTTAAGGAGAAAAAGTTTGAATGTGAAAGTTTATTTAAATTAATTTAAAAAAATATATACATTTCAAAATTTTTTTTTAGCAACTGCTATTTCAACTAAAAATTTTAATATACACATTGTAATAAGCATCACAATATCTAGCTCTTATCGTATCCAGCAAATTCCCTAAAACTATTCCAACTGTTATTTTACATTAAAAAATGACCGCAACTGTTGTGTTGTTTTTAGTAGAAAAAAAATCGTTANAGAATACGATAGCCCCGCACAAACACATTCGGAGGGTTCAGAGTATTTCAGTCCAAAAAGACCATGTACGTTCAGTTTTGAAAATATTAAGTTTTTTAAAGGACGAAGGTATCTACTTATAAAACAGATTTTAGTATGAACGTTAACAAGTCGAAAATAGTCGCTGAATGGTAATTAGAAAATATACAAATTTAAGGAGAAAAAGTTTGAATGTGAAAGTTTATTTAAATTAATTTAAAAAAATATATACATTTCAAAATTTTTTTTTAGCAACTGCTATTTCAACTAAAAATTTTAATATACACATTGTAATAAGCATCACAATATCTAGCTCTTATCGTATCCAGCAAATTCCCTAAAACTATTCCAACTGTTATTTTACATTAAAAAATGACCGCAACTGTTGTGTTGTTTTTAGTAGAAAAAAAATCGTTATTTTTTCGAACAAAAATTATCTCTTAATTCGACTTATATTTTTTTCGGTTAAAATTTTACTGTAATCTTTCGATAAAAATAACAGTTTATTTGCATATTATTGCACAAACGACTTATATCTTTTTTGTTCGTTGGCAAGCAGATGAGAAGCCAATAAATATCTACTTTTTTTTTGATCGCAAAAAACAATTAAAATTTTAACTGTTATATTAGACTGCAAAGTTTAAAATTAATATTCCTTTAAGTAGACAAATTGAAATTTCAAAAACTGTTATTTTTCATCCCGGATTTAAGACTTTCCAACATTAAAAACATCTTGTTGATCACCTACTAACAATTTTAAGTTATAACAATTAACATTTACTTAATTCCAATTCACAAAAAAAAGTATTTCATCCTACACAGCCAAACTACCTATGGCGCAATCTTCCTCTTCAAGTTGCATAAATCTAAAATGCAAAGGCGGCTTCGGTATTAAAATTAAATTGCTAATATACTGTATTTCTTCCGGTTTGGACCAGCTTACTTGATACATTCGTATCAGGCGTGCTAACAAAGTTTCCATTTCCATTTCTGCCACACGCCTGCCCACACATTGGCGCGGTCCCAATCCGAATGGGGCATAAATAAAGGGATTACTGCTGCGCAACTCTGGACAAGCGTCCTCGCTCGCTTTCAGCCAGCGCTCAGGTATGAATTCCTTATAACGTGGATAGTGCTTTTCGCTGTTACACAGTGCCATATTGCCAATGTGAACCGAAGTACCGCGTGGAATACGATAACCGGAGAGCACCAAATCTTTGGGCATCGTGCGCAGATTACCCGGCGCGATGGGGGTGATGCGTAGCCCTTCCTTGATGCATGCACGCAAATATGGCATGTTTTTGGTATTTTCGGCTGTTAGCGGAGTTTTTGGATCGGGCATTATACTGATTAGCTCACGACGTAGTGCCGCCTGCTTGTCAGGATTACGCGCTAAATGATACAGAATCGTGATAAATGAAGATGCAGTCTGAAAGTAAATGCATTAAAATATATTAACCAGCTATTAAATCTACTTATGCAAACAGTGTCCATGCCGGCGTTCAATGTATCTATGGCCATCAAAACAGCTAAATGCTTATCGATACGCAGTAACTTCTCTAGAACGCTATTCGCCTCCGTTTTACCTTCCGCTTCGATGCGTCTCATAGTCTCGTCTATGTATTTGAATGTGATTTCCGTAACGCTGTTGTAGGCGCGCATTAATTTCTTAAAACCAGGAGTTTCAAAATATTTCCACAAAGATGGCGTCATGTCCAAAACAAAACTCAGATTGAAAACATCTTCACAATTCCCTGCCAGAGTTGCCGCATCTTCGCTACCGTTCGCACTGAATGCATTCAAACGTTTATTCAACGCAATATATGTGACCGACTCAAACGCCCACATTTTCAGTTCACTTTGAAAATCATTTTTCAATAAACCGGTGATGGGATTGCGTATAGACTCAAATCTGTGTGAGTGAAATTTTAAAAATTTAGAGCAGATGAATTTGAATTAATGAATATTTTCAAATAAGCACTCAGCATACCTCTCTAAAAATTCCATAGAAATTTTGTCGATTTCTGGTAGATCAGCGCGTATGCTGGCCGACTTCATCATGACCGAGTTAATCTTATTGCGCATGTCACCCCAGCTGCGACCGTGTCTGAGAAAGAGTGTTGTTGTTTTGGTTTTTTTAACTCATGAAAAAATCGCAACTTTTTAATGAAGATGATGAAAGAATTCTTACTCAGTTACAAGTCCACTGCAGCCTTTGAAAAAATCCGGTCTTTTGACTTTTCGAAAATGATCGAATGTCATTAATGCCTCACGTATAGGCCATATGCCTTCGTTGCGATATATCGTTTCAAAATCGTCAGCATTATAGGTGAATACGGTACTAGGTCGACTAAATATGCCTTTCAGAAGAAACATGTCCCCATATCTTTTGCGCAAGATTTTATTCATCTCCATGTAGTTCAAATTGTGAAATTCACCTAAAAAATTAGATAAAGAAATTTAGTTAGGAGTATAAAAATATTTGTTTTTTTTGTTAGAAATTTAGCGAACTAAAATATTTTCTTGGATTTCCTTCTGAAACAGAAAATAATTCAAAACTAGTAATTTTTAGAAAAAAAAAACAACCCGACTTTAATTCTCATATAAAAACTTAGGATTATCGTTAATTTCTTCATGATCCAATGACCCGGTTTAAACCAAATTAGTATTGGACCACCTGTGAGATAACACCTTTCCTTTAAAAAATGAATTATAGAAAGTACTTAATGTGGTCCAAAGTTATGCGGTAAAATACATAAAAAAAAATATTCCGAGGAATTGTTAAAATACATTTACCTCCAGGTAGAAACGCTAAGAAGAATCCATACTTGGATGGTCCAGGTATTGTTTCACATTCCTTCGCATTCACCCATTCGGGATCAGTGCGTTCTGGTGCATTGTAATCTATGAGTTCATTGAGTTGTTGTTTGGTCTATAAAAATATGACATTTTGTTGATATTAAATACTCTCTAAAACCAAAGATATAAAATTTGTCTAGTTTTTACAAATACTTACAGATCCTAGAATGTTTTTATATTTGTATTTAAATATTTAGTCATAATTACATAGATATAAATGTTCGATTAGGTGGCACCCCTAGTCAGGAACATTTTATGACTTAAGCTTTCTTCAAACTCTACCCCTTGATACTCATATTTGAATATTTCATATAATTTGTGTGCGATTTTACTAAATCCAAATTTAAAACATATGGGAACCTTGTTCAAAAGTATTTTAAAACTAAACCCGTCCCTATCTCTTTTTTCCGACAATGGGACACTTATTTCAATTAACTGATGAATTAAGTTAATTTAACTTTTCAAACAGGTGGCAACCCTACTACATGTAATTAGGAAACAAAGCCTTTTTAACCCATTTATTAAAGCAGGTGGCAATCCTCTTCAAAATATGTTCAAATTGCAATTTTTATAAACCTCATTCGTCTGACACCCCTCTTGCGATACATTCAAATGTATGGGATTAATCATACCCACGTTCAAACTTGCAAATCCTCTATGTAAAGTTAGTAGCAGACAATTATTTCTTATCAAATATACAAATATACCTACAGGGTCTAATCTTTATAGTGCGGTATGGCACCAGACAACTTTTGAAAACATCATTCTGATTCAGATTCGAATTTTGTACAAATATTGATTAAAAACTGACGAACATAAGGTGGGTTCCGGCCCATAAACGCATAAGTGTAACGATGAGGATCACAGGTTGGCAAGGTAAACAGTAGCTAACCGTCGAGGCCAGTAGGATCGGAATGCTTCCTAGCTATGAGTTTACAGATACTGTTGTGGAAAATTGGACAAGCAGATCCTTAGAAAAGCGTATTGAGAGAATTCAAAAAGGCAAGTCAAGAAAACTTGAGGAAATTAAAAACTCACAGATATTTAGGACTTTTCCTTAGACTTACTTTATTCACATAGGTGAACATTGTAGGTTGCTACTAGAGATGGGGCGGGATAGCGGGACTCGCGGGCCCCACGGTACTGATTTAAAATTGGCCGGGATGGGCGGTATCGGGAAGATCTGTTAAAATATGGCGGGCGCGACGGAACCAAAATCCTTTCCCGACAAAACGATGTTTAAAATATGCACTTTTAATATTTTATCGAGACGGAAACGAACAGCAAAGCAAAACAATATAATCGGAAGATGCCAGATGTTTCGTTATTATTTTTATTACTTAAAATTAATTGGAAAGACATGAACATTTTTGTCAACCTTCGATCGGTTTGCAAACCTCGCCACACACGTTCAAATCTCAACCGATCGTTTAAATTTTTTGTCCGTTTGTAGCCAGTTTTAGAGATAGATATCGGGGACCCACGGGACCCGCGGTATAATTCATGAAAAACGTCGGAATGGGCGGGTTCGGGACTTAAAAATCGAATTTCGGGATGGGCGGGATCGGGATTAAATATTTAGACCCGTGCCCATCTCTAGTTGCTACCTGTTTGAGACAGCAGTAATGTATTGGGAATAAAGTTCTGCAATGCTTGATCTCAAGCTGATTGCATTTAGTGACTCTCATATACATAGTATTGCAAGACGTAAACGAGAAAATACTTAGATGAGAATCTCATTTAAAATCAAATGGTGAAAACAGGGTTACATTTCTCATTGGCACACAAATTGCAGACAAGAGAAATTGCAGATATGCACACTTTTTTTTGAAGAAAATATGCTGCTGCCAACATATATACATACATATGTATGTATGCAAGTATGCCTATGGAGCTGACCAAAGTCGCCTGAAGAAATTATTTATTTCCTTTTTTTTATTTACACTGACACTTGCATTTACTTTCGCTTTATTGAATTATTTTCATTCCCTTCCGTGTACCATTTGTAAATAAAGATTGTAGAAGCTTAATTATAATCAAGCGAAATAAAGGCAATAATTCTGCTTGCTTGGTTCAATGCACCCGGTTCATCATATGTAGATAAATATACATACATACATATATATATTGTTTATTCACCAGCTCGAATGTTTGTACATACCCTGCGGGAAGCTTCTGGTTGTGCAATAGAATATTACCCGTTTGTTTTCAACTCAAATAAATCGACTTCCTTCCTCAGCACCTGCCAGTGGACATACTAGTAGCATCATACCAGTTGGCGGGATAGTCGGCCGATTAATTACTCGTGAAAGGAATAAGTATGTCATTTTGCTCGCACCGCTCCAACAGTCGCGTGTCGCTTTGAGATAGTTTCGAGGTTCGAATTAGAGATGGGTGCGGAATATCGGGACCCGCGTGAATGAAATAAAGCAAAAAAAAATCGATGCCAGATCTTTCCTTATAGCAGGTTCGGGACTTAAAAACTGAATTTCGGGATGGGCGTTATCGCGATTGAATATTTAGCCCCGTGCCCATTTCTAGGTCGAATCCGCGAATTTTTTATTTATGTTTTTTATTGTAATTTTTAAATTTTATTACTTAAAAACCTTTTTAATTTATATATTTTTTTTTAATTTTTATAGTTTTAGTTAGGATTTTCTTTTTTAACAAAACTAGTTTGATCTATAATTAAATTGAAATAATTCCCATTAGTTTACATTGAACACCTCCAAGAAGATTCCAACCTGCAATCTAGAACCAAAAGCGGTAATTTTCACGAGACGCACAGTGGATCAAAATTTTAAATTTACTAATCAAAAAGGTCCGCAGCCTACAATTCTTGACAGATTTTTTTTTCAGTTGAAGGATAATTAGATACTAAAGAGGTTAAAGGATTACTTTTTTTTAATAAATTTTTTTTTTGTTGATAACGGTTTTATTAAAAAAAATTGATCATACAACTTTTTTTATTTTTCGATCAACTCATATTGTATATCAAAACAAATTGTAAAAAATATATAGGAAAATGACTTTAGAAAATCTTTCTCTATCTTAGAAATTATGTAAAGTATAAGACATTTAACAATTAACGCCTAGGAGTCAAGCGCAGATTTTTTTTTTAACTTTATTTAAAATAACTATAAAAACAAAAAAAAATCAAAGTAGTTCCTTAAACCTCTTATGATTTTATTTAACTTTCAATAAAAAAAAAATGTATCCGCAAAATTTTTACGTGTAGCACTTCTTGCGTTTGCACCACTGTACGTTGCCACAGCAAACATTTATGAGAAAAGCAATTAATATAATTGCATTTTAATTTTGGCTTTTACAATTCAACTTGTAGGCCGCCACATTAGCTTATACCAGTTAATGAACTGTTATTTTTACCGACTGCTTTGACTTTTTACTACAGGGTATCTCTTTACTCTTGTATACAATATACATACATACACCAATATACATACATATGTAAGTATTTACGTTTGTATGTACTCGGAAAAATCTTTCTTTGACCAACTAGCACCAATATAGGAATCAAGGTAATGAAATCATCTGGTACTTTACTATTAACATCATATAAACATGCATTTATTTTTTTTTATCAATTTATCAATATTTGGTATACCATAAATTCTGTTCGCCACTCACCGCGTTCGAATAATTTGTGCGCACTTGTTGTGCCCGAAAGCCGGCAAAGCTCAAATTTGTTAGGCTGGCGTATGTTTGCCCGGTTTGCTTCACTGCGCGTATTTTTTGCCACATTTTGTTTTGATGTCGTTTTACGTTTTTGATATTCAGTTTTTTATTTTTTTTTTTGCAGAATATTTCTTTATTTATGCATATACATAGGTACTAAGTAGGTATGCACGTGCCGAAAATATGTACCTAAGTATAAATATGTAGAAGAATGGAAATCACAATTGATGCAGCTCAAAAGTCGTTGAAACCAGCAACGTTACTGAATATTCAGCCATATATGTTGTCTGTATTTAAATAATAATAAGGCGTAGGTTACTTTTTTAATAAGAATAAATATTGTAAAATATTTTGCCAAAATGCAATGGTCAGATAAGGCATAAAACATAAGTGCATTACACTGGAAAAAAATTTTAATTCAAGAAGGAAAAAATTATAATTAAAACAAAAATTACTTTAACTGCTAAAACATAAACTAGACTTCAACGTAACTCTTGATCTTAAACAAATAAACTAATGGTGTTTTCTTTTCTCAAAAAAAAAAAAAAAAAGTAAATGCGCCTGGGCCACACTGTAGAAGTGAAACTTACGTTACTAATCTATCTATACATACACTCATCTGCTTTTGCTTGAAGTTATATTCTTTCCCTTTTTTTCTATCAATGTAGATCCCTACCTCTACCACTGTTCGTTTTAATAACGTTCATGTTATTCTGTTTTTCCATTATCTTCATTTTTATCTTCATACTCTATCGATAACAAAATCGATTATAACGTCCATCAAAATATCGATAACAAAATCGATGACAAATTCAATAAAAATTTCAATAGCAACATCGGCAATACCATTGGTAGCTAAATCGATTAGAAAATCAATAAAAATATCGATAACAAAATCGATAAATATCGATAACAAAATCAATTTATATCGATAACAAAATCGGTAACAAAATTGATAAAGATCGGTAACAAAATCGATAAAGATCGATCACAAAATCGATAAATATCGATAACAAAATCGATAAATATCGATAACCAATTCGATAAATATCGATAACAAAATCGATAAATATCAATACCAAAATCGATAAATATCGATAACAAATCGATAAATATCGATAACAAAACGATAACAAAATCAATAACAAAATCGGTAAAAATCGCTAACAAAGTCGATAAATATCGAGAACAAAATCGATAAGAATCGATAATTATCGATAACAAAATCGATGAATATCGATAACAAAATCGATAAGTATCGATAACAAAATCAATAAATATCGATAAGAAAATCGATAAATATCGATAACAAAACCGATAAAAATATAGATTATTTAATCGATAAGTCTCGAGAATCTCGAAAATCTCTAAAATCCCAAAATAGTTCCCAGATTGAGTCTTCAATTTTGCCTATATCTTTACACATCTTTGTTTTGGTTTTTGTTTTTGTTTTTATTTTTACCTTTGCCTTTATAATTTTCTTTATGTATGTACGTACTCACCTTTACTTTCATTATTGTATTGTTATTTCTAAGTGTTATCCTCTAACTTTTTATTAACAAGTTTTTGTTGAGTTCATACCATATGCATACACACAAGAAGTACTTGTTTCAGCCCCAACCATTTCCGTTACACCATTTCCATTGCATCATTTCCGTTGCATCATTTCCGTTGCACCATTTCCATGTGCAATTTCCGCTGAATTTGCCAATTTAAGAGCGAAATACACCACACAAGCGGTTTGACAAACCAAGCGAAATTTCCCTTTGCTTCAAGCCATTTGTGCTGTGTATGGGGGTGTTTGAAGGTTTGACAAACCGCCGTCAAACCTTCAAACACCCCCATACACAGCACAAATGGCTTGAAGCAAAGGGAAATTTCGCTTGGTTTGTCAAACCGCTTGTGTGGTGTATTTCGCTCTTAACTCCCACCCAACCAACCGCCGCTAAAGAAGTTTCACTTCAAAAAGGTTGCCTTTTCATTGCCCCTTCCTTAGTATATGTGCGTAGAGAGCACAGAGATGGCAACATCAGAAACTATGAGGGCTATCGAAATGTGAAGTGTATACTTTTTATGGAGAATTTTATTTGCTTTCATTGCCGTATCTCGTATTCCGATTATTCAATTGGTTCGTAAGATATATGTGATTAAGTGCAACCACTCTTTTTTTTTTAAGCTGAATAAAGGTAAATTGCAAATATCTCGAAAATGTATCTATACGAAAAAAAACTAACTCGATTTTCGATATCAGCGAGCGATTCTACATAAAAAATTGGATAGTGGTGCTTGGAGAACAAAAACAAAATCCAAATTTGTGATCCAGTGTAATCATTCAAAAAACTCAAAAGCTATATTAATACTAATACTACTATAAAAAATTAAAGGTAAAACCGCTGAGAGGCAGCTAACATAACAAAAATGTTTTCTAATTTTCAATCGCTCACATTTCAGTCTCAAATAAAGCAAAATTTAATATTTTCATTTATTTATTTTTTGTTTTACTTTTATTTGGTATTTGAGTTGCTCTGAAACTTTCAGTTTTATAAAGCAGATAAACTTCAAAAAATAAATCAGGGCCGACGAATTGAGCGAACGGTTTTACCTTTAAATACTTGCATCATGATTTGAAAAAATGTTTTTGAAACAACTACACGGTTTTTTTGATAAAAGAAACTCATCATAAAAAAAAAATAAAATATTTTTTATCATATAAAAATTAAATATAAAAAAATATTTTAAAACTATAAAAAATGTTAAAAACATAAATACGTAAGTACAATAGATGCGGATTTTCCAATTTTCATCCACTACTTGAAAATTCTAATTTCGGTGGCGAACAAATTGCAACAGCTATCACAATTTTCACTATTTTTCATTTTATTGCAACAAAATAGTTAAGAACAAAATTCTAATTTTAGTTGAAAATGTCATTTTTTGACCGAAGAAGAAAAACCGTGCATGTACCAAAAATGCCACATAAATAATAGGTTCATTCCTTATCTTTTTGGACTAAAATCTGAAAAGTGTCAAAATACCAGAGCGTAAGCAAAATGCGCTCACTAAAAGAGAATAACAGGAAAAGTAAAGGAACGCAAAAAACCAAATTTTTAGTTCAAAGAATGGCAACAACAAAACTAACGTCAAATAAGAAAAGAAATGTATGTACAAAACACATTCACACAAGCACAAGCACAATAAACACTTGCTATATCAATTATTTTTTGCCTTCTTCCAATTTCAATTCATTTCTTTTACTTTTTAGATTATTCTCACTTTTAGCGTATTCTTTAATTTCCGTTAATTTAAATTCAGTTGAGTTTGACACTTTTCAGGATTTTGCCAGAAAAAATTCTTCTGACTAAATCTGACTACTTCGGACTGATGAGAGTCACTCTCACTGACTGTTGCTCTCTCATTTTTGCTGTCATTTCCGAGTTAAGGAACGCTTTTTGGACTAAATCTGACTACTTCGGACTTTTTCTGACTATTTCTGGGAGATAAGGAACGCTCCTAATTATACCTTTCCCTGCTTTTGTAAATTTCATTGTATACACACGCCATAAGTCTGATAAGACTATTTGTAGTGTGTTCGTACTGTACGTAAAGCTTTATGTTTATAGTACAGCTTACCACCAATGAGATGGAGCTTTTAGCAAAACTCAAAGCATTGGCGAATGCAGGGTGATCCAAGTGACGAATACAAAAAGGAAACGCTTGCGCAGAGTTGCAAATTCGCAGGGTGCACTTAATTATATATGTTTTCGTTTCCGAACAAGTTTTTTTTTCATGATGCATTTCCGAACAAACTGAAATTCTCAAATCGCTTAGTTCTGGAACCGCTTATGATAACGTCCTGAAATTTTACACAGCAAGATATGTTATCAATACCGTACTTTCGGCGAAAAGTGATAGATTATGGAAAATAGGGCGGGTACCTCCCATTCAAACTGAACTTCTTATATCGACTATGTCTGAAACCGCTTATGATAAGGTAAAGAATTTTAATACAACTACATCTACATATTTACACATCAAGCGGTAAGCATCATTCTTTTGGAAAAAATAACTCGATTTTCGAAATCACCTAGCAATTCTATATAAAAATTGGGTAGTGGCGTTTGCAGAACAAAAACCAAACTGAAATTTGTGATCCAGTGTAATTAAATTATAACTTCTACTAAAAATCTCTCATTACGGTGTTACCGATTTGAAACATAACGTAATTGCCTCAGCCAACCGTTCAGATATTAAAGAAATCGCAACTGCGCATCAGTGTTGCCATTTTGCTGCTTTTGGAGCTAGATTTAGCTCTTTATTTTCCATTCAGCTCCGTAAATTGGGCCTTAGCTCCTAGCTCTTTTTGAGCCCTTTGCAAATTAACTAGCACTGTTTTAGCTCCAGAAAGTTTTAGTTGTGTTTGGTAATATATTAAAATTACAAATCTGTAAGTTCATTGTACAAGTGTTATTTATTTATTTGGATTTGGCGATCTCAGGCTATTTTCGATATCTTCATATTATTCTATTTCGATTAGTACTTAGAAAACTTCCATTCCTAATGCAAATGGCGCGCAAACAAATGGAAAATGGGCAAGTAAGTCAAATAGTTTATGCCAGTAATTCGAGCTCCGATAAGCTCAGACCAAGGTGTATTTAACAAGGTGGTGTTGGCCGTATATAAGTAAAAAATTACACTAACAAATTATTTGCAGATATCCATACTGTCATTAGTATGAGTTACACCAAACACATCATTTTAACGTAATGCCTTCCGCGGCAAAACACTCAGCTGTCGCCCCAACACCACCTTGTTAAATACAACTTGGCTCAGACACTGTATTCTCTCTCAGGCGGCCACGGTAGAAAAGGAAAGCCAAAACTTAAGCATTGATAAAGTTACAAATTTCGAAATTCAGTGGAAAAATATACATTTCTATCCACGGGAAAATACAGACTGCACCATAAACTCATGGATCTAGGTTAATGAATTCAAAAATTAAATAGAAGAAAATCGTTTTTCTAAACGCGCGGATTTTTTTTTTTTTACCTTACTAATTTTACATTTAA